TATCTATCTATCTATCTATCTATCTATCTATCTATCTATCTATCTATCTATCTATCTATCTATCTATCTATCTATCTATCTATCTATCTATCTACTTTGTCAGGTTACTTTAAGCCGGACACCCACGTAACCCATATAGCCCACGTGGTTCAGGCTGAACGGGACCCCGGACCATTAGCAGACGGCCCGAGGGGGATGCGCCCTCCCCTCCCCCTATTTCAGTGGATGGAATAAAATTGCCTCATACTTGCTTTGGCAACTGCACAGCCTCGGATATATAAGGAGCACGCAGAGGAGGTCTCAGTTGCTGTGAGAGCCACACACCCCTCACCTGCACGCACACATACACCCACATAAACGTTCGCCACACTCCTGCACGTCCTGCACCGTCCTCCTTCATTCTTGCGCACATCCCCTTCTGTGGTCTAACCGGATGAGTTACCCGGTGGACACTGTAGGGAGTCCCTTCAGGAGAACTATGGATACCAGAACGACCAGCTATGGCTACAGCCGCTCCAGCGGCACCCCGTCCAGCGGCTTTCGGTCCCAGTCCTGGTCCCGGGCCAGTCCCGGCTCTACCGTGACCACGTCTTACAAGAGGAGCGTGAATATGCCGGCAACCCGGGCATACAGCTCAGCTGTGCTGAGCTCCGCCGACAGCGTTGATTATAGTCAAACCTCTATCCTGAACGGAGACTACAAGCGTTCTAACGAGAAAGAGCAACTTCAAGGGCTCAATGACCGGTTTGTTGTTTACATTGACAAGGTGCACTACCTGGAGCAGCAGAACAAGCAGATCGAGGCGGAGATCCAGGCACTGCGGCACAAGCAGGTGTCGCGCTCCCAGATGGACGACCTCTATGACCAGGAGCTGCGGGAGCTACGGGAGCTGCTGGAGCAAATCCACCATGACAAGGCACAAATTCAGCTCGACACGGACCACATCGACGAGGACATCCAGCGGATCAGAGACCGCTTTGAAGAAGAAGCTCGCATCCGAGAGGAGACAGAGGCCATAATCCGTGTCCTGAAGAAGGACATGAGCGACTCGGAGTTGGTAAAGTCTGAGTTGGAGAAGAAAGTTCAGTCGCTGCAGGATGAAATCGCCTTCATCCGCAACAATCACGAGGAAGAAGTCAGCGACCTCATCGCCCAGATTCAGGCGTCTCAGGTGACAGTGGAAAGGAAAGACCTCCAGAAGGCTGACATCACCGAGGCTCTCCGGGAGATTCGAAGCGAACTGGAGGGCCACT